GGCCCCCCCCTCCGGCCCCGCAGCCCCTGCCCGGTGCTGAGCCGGGCTGGCTCCGGCTGTTTTCCAGGAGCCGGTGGCCTTTGAGGACGTGGCCGTCTACTTCTCGGCGGAGGAGTGGAGGGGGCTGGCGGGGTGGCAGAAGGGGCTCTACAAGGAGGTGATGATGGAGAACTACCAGCTGATCGCCTCTCTGGGTAAGGGCTCCCCCGTCCCGGTCCCGTCAATCCCAACCCCATCCCTGGGACCTATCCCCATCCCCAACTCATCCCCATCCCATCCCCAACTCATCCCCATCCAATCCCATCCCATCCCATCTCATCCCATCCCATCCCATCCCATCGCATCCCTGTCCCATCCTATCGCATCCCTGTCCCATCCCATCCCTGTCCCATCCTGTCCTGTCCCATCCCATCCACTCCTTTCCCCACCCCACCCCAGGGACCTATCTCAGGGCCAGGGGGATGTTGTGTGCCCCAACATCCAGCCACACCCTGACCCCACCTCTACTCCTGGGCCCATCTCGGGGGGCTGCTATTAAACAGCCCCTCCCAGAGCCAGGACCACAGGAAGAAGCTGGAGCCTGATAGGGATGGAGCAGGGGAGATGGTGGTGGCTGGGAGGATGAGGTCTGGCAGGGACATGGCAGAGGGGTGCCCGTGGAGGCTGCAGGGGTGTCTGCCTGCTGCATGGGGGGCTACAGAGTAGAGGGGAAATCTCCCCCACTCCCACTGGGGACGGAGTGTTACAGCCGTGGTGGCAGGATCTCCGTGGCACTTGCCTGTGAAGAGCTGCCCTTTTCCCCCTGGAGCAGGCTCGGCTGGCCCCAAGCCAGAGGTTGTCCTGAAGCTGGAGCAAGGAGAAGAGCCGCTTTTGGGGGACACCCCGACTGCGCCCATCAGAGGGAGCCCGCAAGCCCCCAGCACAGGTGAGTGTGGTGAGGCCGAGGCGAGGGCTGGCTGCTCTGTCAGCCAAGAGCCAAGCCAAGCCCTTGCCAGCAAGGAGCCGATGTGCTGGGCAGCAGGCATGGGGCAGGATCCGGCCAGAGGCCACGGTCAGGGATGGGCGCACATGGTGAGTGCCTGGTGAGGCCATGGTGCCAGTGCTGCGGCTGGGGGTGGGGGATGAAGCTCCTGTGTGCCTCAGTTCCCCCATTTGTGAATGGGTACAGTGTTATTCACTCCCCTCCCAGGGGCGGATGAGAGCAGAAGGGTGGGGGGTGAGGGCAGCACCCAGGAGATGAGGGCAGCAGGACTCTGCCCTGGCGCCCAACCAGGGACATCTCTTGCAGCGGAGTCTCCTGGGTGCCGGCTCTCCAGCTGCGCTGCTGGCACCGGCTCGAAGAGGAAGGAGCTCTCCCTGGCTGACCGGGTGAAGCTGCTGCAGGCACTGGAGTCACCCTCTGCCTCCCTGACCAGTGTGGCCAAGCTCTTTGGCATCTCCAAGAGCCAGGCAGGCAGGATCGGCCGTCGCCGGGAGCAGATCCTGGCCAACTGGCTCACCAATGCCAACCCACTGCGCAAGCGCAAGCGGGAGGGAAAAGGCGGCGAGGTAGAGGATGCACTTTTTGCCTGGTTCCAGCAGGCGCTGGCCCGTGGCGAGCGCCTCTCGGGGCCTATCCTGAAGGCCAAGGCTCAGGAGCTGGCCCAGAGCTTGGGCCAGGACTTCGAGGCCACTGACGGCTGGTTGTGTCGCTGGAAGACCCGCCACAACATCGTCTTCAAGAGGTACCAGGAAGAGAAGGTGGATGCAGATGTTGGCAGCGCCCAGAGCTGGCTGAGCGAGGTGCTGCCCGGTCTCCTCACTGGCTACCACGCCCATGATGTCTTCAGTGCGGAGGAGACGGGGCTGCTGTACCGTGGCTACCCAGAGAGGGCGCAGGCCCCTGGGGATCTGCGGCGGCTGGACGGCACAAAGGCCAGGGACCGTGTCTCTGTCCTCTGCTGTGCCAACCACACCGGCACGGAGAAGCGGCAGTTGCTGGTGGTGGGCAGGAGCCGGCGGCTGCGCTGCCTCCCCAAGGACCTGCGGGCACTGCCGGTTACCTACACCAGCTCGGGCAATGCCTGGGTGACGGCGCGCATCTTCCAGGAGTGGATCCTGCGGTGGGACCAGGAGCTTCGCCACCATTGCCGCAGGGTCGTGCTCTTCGTGGGCCGCAGCAGTGCCCACCCCCCAGAGCTGAGCACCAAGCTGCACAACATTAGGCTGGTTTTCTTCCCTGCCAACGCCTCCAGTGTCGCCCAGCCCATGGATTTGGGCATCATCCCCAATCTGAAGGGTCACTACCGGGCGCTGGTGCTGGCCCGGGCAGCGCAGGACCCGGCGCTGGCCCGGGCAGGGCGTGTAGCCGAGATCGCCGGCCAGGTGACGCTGCTCGATGCCATCTACCTCCTGCACAAGGCCTGGAGATTGGTGCAACCAGCCACGGTGCGGAGCTGCTTCCGGAAAGCTGGCTTCCACCTGGTGCCGCTGGAGCAGCGGGAGGCCGACTCGGCGCCGCTGGCAGATGTGCCACGTCCGCCCTTCATCACCGAGCGGGACTTCCTGGCCTTCGTCAGCATGGACGCGGCAGAGCCGGCTGTGGGCGACGCGGTCGGCAAGGATTGCTTGTGGGGACAACGGGGCTGCTGGGACACAGGGGCTGCCAGTGAGGAGGAGGAGGAGGAGGAGGAGGAGGGGGAGCTGGAGGCTGGGAGCCAGGTCACAGCCACCAAGGCGCTGGCTGGGCTGTCAGCAGCCATGAAGTGGTGCCAGTTCCACGGGCTGGTTTACCACTGGGAGCGGCTGCTGGAGACCGAGAGCACTCTGCGGATGGCTGTCATGGCTGAGGCCGCCCAGGCCGCGCTCCCGGCACACACCGGCTACGTGCCCGGCATGCTGCTGTAGGTGGGAGGTTGACGTGTGCTGGGGCCTTGCAGAGATTAGGAAGGATGGATCCTGTGGCACCTTCCGGGGGGCAGCAGCACCTTGCTGCATCCCCCTCGCCATGTCTGGGGCTGCGGCAGGTGGGTCTGAGGGTGGTGGGGGAGGTGGAGGGGCTGCCAGGAGCAGAGATAGGGGCCACCCCAGTTTTTGCTGACCCAGAGATGGCCACAGGCAGAGTTGGGGTGAAGCTGAGCTCTGCTCCCATGAAGCTGAGGTGACTTCAGGCTGGGGGGCTCCATGAGGGCCTGGCCCAGCATGGCAGCCCCCGGTCCCTGCAGACCTCAGCCTCTCTCCTGCTGCAGCCCCAGGGAGGGGACAGTCCTGTCCTGTGCCACCCTGCACCCCAGGGCACGCGCCAGGGCCTCAGCCCCCCAAAACTTTTGTGGCACAGGTGAGCTCCCCATCTGTTCCCAGCCTGAGATTCCCAGAGTGGTGCTCCGTGGTGCAGGGGGACAGTGGAGGTCTGTCCCCAGTGTCCTCCATCCACAGCAGGGGGGGATTGGCCAAAACTCACAGGGGGTGAGAGGTGATTCTGCTCCAGTCTTTGCCTTAAGCACCTAAAAGAGCCTGGCCCTGCTGTATTACCTCAGGTGCCCCCCGCCCCGGGGTGCCACATCTCTTGCCACAGACTGGGGTGCCAGAATGTGGGCTGTGCCATGCAGCTGGAGCATCTGTGGGGCCCTGGGAGTTTTTTGGGTTTCCTGTAAAACGGTCCGTCGTGTTTGTTATAGTTGAATTAAAATTACTAGAGTCCGAAATAAATTCACTAAATATTTATTAAGGTAGGAAAGCAAAACAGCGCGCTGGGCAGCCGGGGAGTTCCAGCTCTACCCAAGGCTCGCTAATTCCGACAAATAACACAGCCTTTTTATCCTCCTGGAGGTTGGTTTTGCCTCTTAGCTTCTTTTGTTATAACTTCTTTAAGGCTGGCTAGCTTCAAGGTCTGTTTGTGAGTTTGAGCAAATAGTTAGGCTTTCAGTCACATAACAATGGGGGTTGTACATTTGTTAACAGGGAGCTGTGAAGTTGTAAATTACAAAACTAATCTCTTTTTACACTAAGGTCTAAACTAAACAAAGTTCAGAAGTTGTTATGGTAACATGATTGCAGTTTAACAGTTGCCTTGAGACAGTACATCTTGCAACCTCTCAGTTAAGTCCTTTTTTCCTTGCCAGACAGGATGTTCTCAGATCTGTTGCAGCAAGATCATTCCTTTTGTTAAAAAAAACCCAAAACATTTGATCTGCAAATTACCCTTGATTACTTATCACAATCCCCCCCCTTTTCTGATTTGTAGGTGATTTGCTGATCAAACCTAGACAATACCTCACAGGTTGCAACTAATTCAGGATTTTCATTTGGTGTGATTTTCATCTCCAGTTCAGATTGCTTCATCACCATTAGTTGTACTTTTTCCAACCTTCTATTAACAAAAGTTACAAATTTATTGATGATACCAGGTCCAAAGGTCAAAGCTAATAATAACATTATGAGGGGTCCTGCCAAAGTAGAAATTAAAGTAGTCAGCCAGGGTGACCAATGAAACCAAGATTCATACCAGGAGGATTGAGCCTCCCGTTCTTTTTTTCTCTTCTCTAATCCGTCTCTTAATTTTGCTAACGTGTCTCTGACCACTTTAGTATGGTCAGCATAAAAGCAACATTCCTCGCCAAGGGCAGCACATAATCCTCCTTGTTGCAAGAACAAGACATCCAATCCCCTTCAGTTTTGTAAAACTACTTCTGACAATGAGGTCAGTGATTTCTCTAAGTAAGAAATGGATTTTTCTACTTGGGCCAAATCTTCGTCTACTGCAGTTCTTAGAGATGTTAGACTCTGTTGTTGCACCAAGGAGGTTATGCCAGTGGTGGTCCCAGCGACCCCTAGACCAAATAGAGTAGCTATAGTAATTGCAGATATTGGCTCTCTTTTGTTGGTCTTATGTCCTAAATTGTTCCAGTGTAAATACATAGTTTCTTCCTCATGTAAGAGGATTCTAGGTACCACTGTAACCTGTATACAAAATTCTGAGACAATTTTCTTGAGAACAGTCGTGGACACACACGATATTAATCCGGTTATGGAACAGGCCCACCATGCCCTGGGACTAGGTAAAATCCATTTAGTATTGGGTGCGAAGTTTTGGGTCTGGTTGGTACATAGAGTTCCTCTCTCGTTTGTTACCTCTCCTATACACCAACCACTCCCTCTAACCTGTTGGAGAGTAATCCCCACCTTCCGTTCTTTCCAATTACATCTGAAGGGATTGTCCTCAGTAGATGTATTAAAAGGAGATGACACAGCTATTCCTTCATAAAAAGGGGGCTCTATGTCATAACATAACCAACAAGAAATGGTAAAATTTGGATTTGTTGCATTTAAAGCTTGATAGGCGGTCTGCATTACAGCCCATAAGGGTTCATCATCTTTGGGCATTTTTGTCACTTCATTTATAGAGGTTAGGTATGTCTCTGGGGTGACTGAGGCAGTGGAGTTTCTTACTTTTGGCTTCTTTTTCCCTTTTTGTTTGTGATGAACTGATTGGGCCCTACTGCTTGTGGCATTTTTAGTTCATGTTTTTGAATGAATAATAATCCTTCTCTATCAATTCCAGGTCCAGGATTCCAATATTTCATTCCCCAAGTGCGTCCTGTTAGCCATGAAGGATCTTCTGGCTTTAAAATCATTAGATCTACTTTATCACACTTGCTGGGTTTGGCCTCTACAGTTCCCCAAGAGAGTCCACCTGAGGAGGTGGTCCACAACCATCAAGCCCCCATCTCAACTGTAAAAACCTATCTTGGGTACTTGGTGTCCATGCTGATGCAAGGGTCTCACAACCCCAATATGCACAATAACAATGATTTGGAAAATTACAGTAACTTTTTCCTGGGTTTGAGTTTGGACAAAAGCAGTGAGCCCACTGGTTAAGACATAGTTGTGTGGGCACTAAATCACAGAGATATACTAAGAAACTTAGAGCACCGGCCGTAACATTAGTTTTCAGTATAACAGGACCTTCCCATTGACCTAAGGTCCGATTGAAGGGTTGATGTTCATTTTCTGAAGTCGTGGTAATTAATATCATTATCAGGATAAGGATAACAGCCTTCATTTCCCCACTGTTAGTACTTCTGCCTTTCCTCGTCTACTCTTTTGCAGAGAGCAACGGGTTATCAATATCTTCTCGGCAGCAGCAGGTAGTCTTCAGGGGAATTGTTGCTGTTATTCCATCAATAATTTCCAAGGCCCAAAGAGTTAGTTATTCCTCAGATGTATTTCTACCTGTTTGGTTGTTGTGCCTGTTTCCAGGCAAAACTTATAGTACTCTGTCCTAAAATTCTATACCAGTCTGTTTCATACACTTCCCAAAGTGCAGGTATTGACAGTTCCCATCCACAAAATAAATTACAAATTTCTGCTCGAGCCCGTTGTTCCCTGGTAGGTGTCAAATTACTGCGACATTTCATTCAATAAGGTTGTCTCTTAATTGAAATACAAGACCACTTTTTATCACAATTTAAACAGTGACAAACAACCCAGCATAAGTGTCCGGAAGTAGGGTGTTTTAAACAGGGTATTCCACGGATGTCTCCTATACCAGGTGATTAGGGTATATCTGTCTCACAGCAAAAGGGAAAAATCTGAGGAGTTTCTGTCAGTTTGTATAATCCAGCCCCCTCTTGCGGCAGCAGAAACACTCTTTTAGGATTCTCTGGGCCCTTCCTCGCAGACCAGAAATCCTACACGATGCATCCATCCGTAGGTGAGGCATCCTACATCGCTGCAAGCTGGCCCAGCCTCTAAATCAACAGGCCAAAATAACTGGCAGTTTTCTCTGAGCGGGAACATCTGATTTCATCCTCCTGTTGGGTTCCACCCAGAGCCTGCCCAGCACTCCAGGGGGAAAACCAAGGGAGTTTCTAATAAGGTTAAACACTTGAGCTTTTAATTCTTAATATTGCTAAACAAAGAAAGTTGAATACACACATTCTTACAGCCTTTCATCCTTATTAATAACTACATTTCATCTAAACTACATCTTTCACTAATGACTAGTAAGCCTATATATTTCATTAAGGAGTTGCAATTACTGTTAGCATTTTCTCTTAAAAGAATTGGCAACTGTAGTGTAGTTTGTTCTGTTGCAGTAGCAAACATTACCCAGACATCTGCTTAAATGATCAGTCGAAGAGATTGCAAACTGTCCACGCAGGGGCGGGTACCCTAGAGCACCCACAGCTGGATCCTGAGTGCTGGCTGCCTCTCACGCCTCAGGTGTGGTTGCACACACCTTGCCAGTGACCATTGGAGATGAGACCTGTGGAGACACAAGCATAACCTCTTCCCCAGGTTATTAAAGATATTATATGGTCCTTCCCAGGTATCCCTTTCTAGGTTTTTGTTAATGCTTGAGCTCTGGACTTCTTGTTGATCTGGTATCTGTAATGAGAAATGACACAATACTGATGGCACCTGTGAGACGGGGAAATGTTTAAAAGGTTTATGACATATAATGCCTTATTTAGCCTTTTGTGAGGTGTAGACTGATACTGTGCATCTCCCCTTTTTTGTTGTTGTAACAGACGCTTTAGCTTGCCAGGTATACACTCCACCATGGCCAGTGTCAAGTCAGTGAGTGGGGAATGCCAGTCAGATCACTGTATGGCAGGATGCAAACAGTGCTCCAGAAAAGGTGTTAACAGACACATGGACATAGTTTAACATTTCAAATGCAGCTAAGTGAGTGACAACAGATTGCTATCATTAGAGGAGGTGAGTCCCCAGGGGTCAACACCACTTCACTGTTGAAGAGATGGAGTCTTTCTGTATTCAGGGCAAATTGCAATGACGTCTTTAGCCTGATACCTTGATAAAAAACCCCTGGTTTTGTATTGCCCTGGCATTCTGATGAAAAAAAATGCATGTGTTTTTCATCCCACAGAAACAGCAGAGCATATGGCTGATGTGGAGCCAAGAACTCTCCCCCCTTTTGTTTTTGCAAAAGCACTTTCAAGGTTTGGTGTGTTCTTTCTGTGATGGCTTGTCCTGTGGGGGAATGCAGTATACCTGTGATGCTTGTCTGTTTGAGATGGTGTTAGCTATGCGGTGGAGATCTTGTCTTGCTTTCTCTGTAAGTATTCTGGGTGATGCCAGTGAAGGATCTTTTCATAAAATATAAAACAAGCTATGCAGATCATCATCAGTTAGGCCCATGATGGCTGTAAGCAATTTATGGTTCCTAACAGTTTCTGTAAATCTTTTAAAGTGTTAATGTCAGGTTTAAGCTGTCGAAGGACAATTGTCTGTTCATAAATTCTTAAGCCCAGGTACTGCCTGGCGATGATATATGTACCTTTTGAAGTGGTATTTGCAACACCATTTGAGATAGTGAGTCTTTGGTTAAAGCAAGAGCCTTTTCCATGATCTCCTGTGTTTCTGCTGCCGTAAGGATATATAACAGCTTGGGGGACCCGGTGGGATTTTTATGTCTTATGGTAAAATAACACAGTGGTATTGTTTTGCAGGTTCACTAATATTAATAGTGGGAATAGAAAGGGTAATTTTAGGTGCATCGTTCGGATGCAAGGGAATGATAAAAGAAATCAATCCTTAGATCAATTACTACAAGATGCCAGTTTCAGGTAATCATTGTTGGAGAGGGCATTCATGGTTGTAAAGTATTTTTATCATCCACGGTATTATTAATGTGTCGGAGATCATGTAAAAGTCACTATTTACCACTTTTCTTTAAAATAAGAAACTTAATTGTCCCTGAATTAAATCATTAAAGTGGCAAGGGCCACTGACCTAGTCACACAGGTGATTCTGTTTGGTGAGGTGAGGTGAGGTTAGTGTCAGGGTGGGTTGTGCTACAGTGGTGATTAAGACAAATTTGATCCAATTTGAGTTCCCCCCATACAGTCATGACCCCAAAATGCAATAGGGGTTTCCAATATAAATGGATGAATATTTGCTGTCCAGTTTTCTGAGCCCCTTACATGAATGAGATCCTTGCTTTAAATTGCTACAGCATGACCACAACCCTGAAAAGCATTTGAGGTACCGGAGCTAACAGCCAGTCTGCTCACAGATATTATGGTCACATCTGCACCAGTATCTAAAATGCCTGTCAGCTCAACAGATTTTTTTTAGCTTTAATGAGAGTACATTTTATCAGAAGTCAACCTTGTGTCACTGTCTGAGTCCAAAAATATTTAAGGGGTGCCTGCTGATCCAAATCCTGAGTCATCACGGCTTCTTGGCATAGTATTAGGGGGAGCCGCTGAACAATTTTTGACTTTTTTTTACTGAACACAGGGGTACAGACCATAATTTTGATTTTTCTCTTCATAACCAGCATCTACAACCCCTGGTAAAACAAACAACCCCTGTAAGGTTGTAGATGATCTTTTGACAATATTTCCATTAGGCAGATGGTACAGAGGTGCACTCTCCCCGCAGAGTATGCACCTAAATTCAATACAGCAGTTAACACAGAGTTACTGCCTCCTGCTAGAGGAGATATTTCACTTGAGACACTTAAAACCCTGAGCCTGAACAAATCGCAGCACTGATGACTCAGCGGGTGGGCACTAGGACCCTGTTGTTCTTTCCTGGTCTCACACACGCAAAACAATCACACAACCACACAAAGGAGCCTCTTACACTTATTACTCACACAACATAAAATGACAAATATTATAAATACGAAAATTCCATTAAGAACATATAAAGCTATTGCGGATCCAAAAATAGGCCAATATAAATCCTTTCTTATTTGTTTTCCTCCCCATACTTCTATACAATAATGGATCATTATCTCCCTGGACTTCCCCTTTCGAGAAGGGGAGGTGTCCCAATATTGAATCATTAGGCCTATATCGGGGAGCCCACCCTGCTTCTCCTGCATGAAACCAGAAGCTTTACTCTTCTGGCCCATCTTCCGAGAGTGCCTCCTTTCACACAAAATTCACTCGCTTCCCTCCGTTCGTGGCCCACGCCCTCGCGGACAATGGGAATTGCACTACAAGGAGGTCCACGTTCGCTTCGCCCGGTGAACTAAGTCCAGTGGACGTCTGACGTCTCAGTCAGTCGCACCCCGGGTACCCAATCCCTGACTGAACGGAACCGCAATATACTTACTCGCTTCCAAGTCTTCGTCCTGCTTTTCGTGCACAAAAATTATGGGAAACTGCAGTATCTCCTTTCTCTTTTCTTTTTGCTTCCCTATCTTAGTTAGGAAAATCCAGGTGAGCTAAGTCTGAATCTCCTCCGGGGACCATCCGAGGATGGGGCGCCTTCCCAGAGTTGAAATCTGAGTCGGCTGTCTGGATCCGAGTCACGACAACAAAGTTGTTATAGTTGAATTAAAATTACTACAGTCCAAAATAAATTCACTAAATATTTATTAAGGTAGGAAAGCAAAACAGCGCACTGGGCAGCCGGGGAGTCGCAGCTCTACCCAAGGCTCGCTAATTCCGACAAGTAACACAGCCTTTTTATCCTCCTGGAGCTCGGTTTCGATATCTTCGGCACGCCTCTTAGCTTCTTTTGTTATAACTTCTTTAAGGCTGGCTAGCTTCAAGGTCCCTTTGTCGGTTTGAGCAAATAGTTAGGCTTTCAGTCACATAACAATGGGGGTTGTACATTTGTTAACAGGGAGCTGTGAAGTTGTAAATTACAAAACTAATCTCTTTTTACACTAAGGTCTAAACTGAACAAAGTTCAGAAGTTGTCATGGTAACATAAGATTGCAGTTTAACAGTTGCCTTGAGACAGTACATCTTGCAACCTCTCGGTTAAGTCCTTTTTTCCTTGCTAGACAAGACGTTCTCAGATCTGTTGGAGCAAGATGATTCCTTTTGTTAAAAAAAAACCCCAAAACATTTGATCTGCAAATTACCCTTGATTACTTATCACAATCCCCCCCCTTTTCTGATTTGTAGGTGATTTGCTGATCAAACCTAGACAATACCTCACAGGTTGCAACTAATTCAGGATTTTCATTTGGTGTGATTTTCATCTCCAGTTCAGATTGCTTCATCACCATTAGTTGTACTTTTTCCAACCTTCTATTAACAAAAGTTACAAATTTATTGATGATACCAGGTCCAAAGGTCAAAGCTAATAATAACATTATGAGGGGTCCTGCCAAAGTAGAAATTAAAGTAGTCAGCCAGGGTGACCAATGAAACCAAGATTCATACCAGGAGGATTGAGCCTCCCGTTCTTTTTTTCTCTTCTCTAATCCGTCTCTTAATTTTGCTAACGTGTCTCTGACCACTTTAGTATGGTCAGCATAAAAGCAACATTCCTCGCCAAGGGCAGCACATAATCCTCCTTGTTGCAAGAACAAGACATCCAATCCCCTTCAGTTTTGTAAAACTACTTCTGACAATGAGGTCAGTGATTTCTCTAAGTAAGAAATGGATTTTTCTACTTGGGCCAAATCTTCGTCTACTGCAGTTCTTAGAGATGTTAGACTCTGTTGTTGCACCAAGGAGGTTATGCCAGTGGTGGTCCCAGCGACCCCTAGACCAAATAGAGTAGCTATAGTAATTGCAGATATTGGCTCTCTTTTGTTGGTCTTATGTCCTAAATTGTTCCAGTGTAAATACATAGTTTCTTCCTCATGTAAGAGGATTCTAGGTACCACTGTAACCTGTATACAAAATTCTGAGACAATTTTCTTGAGAACAGTCGTGGACACACACGATATTAATCCGGTTATGGAACAGGCCCACCATGCCCTGGGACTAGGTAAAATCCATTTAGTATTGGGTGCGAAGTTTTGGGTCTGGTTGGTACATAGAGTTCCTCTCTCGTTTGTTACCTCTCCTATACACCAACCACTCCCTCTAACCTGTTGGAGAGTAATCCCCACCTTCCGTTCTTTCCAATTACATCTGAAGGGATTGTCCTCAGTAGATGTATTAAAAGGAGATGACACAGCTATTCCTTCATAAAAAGGGGGCTCTATGTCATAACATAACTAACAAGAAATGGTAAAATTTGGATTTGTTGCATTTAAAGCTTGAT